TATGTGGAAGCATCCTCAGGTAGTGTAGATTAAAATTTGTTCAAATCATGACCCCGGGGGATAGGGCGGGTCCACAATGGAGGATCAAAGTTTTACATAGAAATTTATAGGAAAAATCTTTAAAAATCTTCTTCTCAGGAACAGCAAAGCCCTGATTGATCATATTTATGTGGAAGTATCCTCAGGTAGTATTGATTTAAGTTTGTTCAAATCATGACCCCCTGGTGTAGGGCGGGGCCACAATGGAAGATCAATGTCTGAAATAGAAATATTTTAGGAAGGTATCTTCTGATGAAGAACTGCAAAGCCATGATTTGTCATTTTGATATGGAAGCCTCTTCAGGTAGTGTAGATTCAAGTTTGACCCCCGGGGATAGGGATGGGCCACAATGGGGGATCAAAAATTTCTTACATAGAAACATATTGGAAAATATCTTCTTCTCAAGAAATGAAAATTATGTTTAGTCATTTTGATATCGAAGCATCCTCAGGTAGTGTAAATTCAATTTTTTTTTTCAAATGATAACCCCCAGGGGTAGTTTGGGGCCCAATGGGGATTGAAAGTTTTACATAAGTACACATAGAAAAAATATTTTTTCTCAAGAACAGAAAAGCTATGTTTAGTCATATTGATATGGAAGTATCCTCGGGTAGTGTAGATTCAAGTTTGTTGAAATGATGACCTCTGGGATAGGGAGGAGCCACAATGGGGGATCAAAATTTTACAAAGGAATATATGGGAAATTTTTTTTTAAAATCTTCTCAAGTACAACAAAGCCATTTGTTATATTGACATGGAAGCATCATCAGGTAGTTTAAAATTCACCCCCCAACCCCCAGTAATCTTTTCAATACTGAACTGATTTGTGTCTAGCTAATGTGCTCAGGTGAGCGATGTGGCCCATGGGCCTCTTGTTTAAAATAAAGTGGTTCTTACGGATGTTATAAAAAACCTTATAAACGGCTAAATAATTACATGTATTTAATTTATCTACTACAAATGTTAGTTTAGTTCTTTGCTTTTATAATCTAACGTTTATAAATTAACACGAAAGTCGTGCGATCGTATACAAATACTCAGAAGCAATCTTTCATATTTAATGAACGTATAGTTGAATAAATTTCCTCTCATCACTATACGTAAACCCCTATCCTCGAAATAAATAGAATGTTTTCCTTCGCAATCGGTTGGTTTTACCAGGTACATGTAAGTACAGGTGAGGATGGAGCTTTACAGAAGCAGGTGATGAATTCAGAGAGAAAGGCACTGCCTATTTTATATACATGTACATTCCTAGGGACCTGGTTTTCTGAACCGATCTCACTGTTATTCAAAGACCTAGTTAGAAATTCTCTCTCTCTCTCTTTCTCTCTCTCTCTCTCTCTCTCTCTCTCTGAAATGCAGGCCCGTCGATTGTAAAAAAAAATAACAAAATAATTTCAATTTTTGATAAGTATCTCATCTCCCAAGCCAAAGACACAAGTAAGCTTTTGCTGTTCATAATTTTTCATCTTTGTTTGCTATCTTGGTGTACATAAGCATTATCGTCGTTGTTGTTCTAAAGCTACTCGTAAATTTTTCTCATTTTTATCTTATCAAGAACCACTGGACCATAACAACGAAAATTAACACAGAATATTTTTGGTAAAGTTTTGTTCAAATGAAGGGTCACATCCTCTTTTAACGGATACATGTAGTAAAAATTAGATGGGGTCCAGGCGCAGATCAAGGAATTTTTTTCCACGGAGAGGGGGGGGGGGATGCCAATAAAAAAATATTTCAACCCAGAAATTTCTTGACGAGCCAAAAAAAAAAAAAGAAACTCTTTTCCAAAACGTGAAAAACCTATTTCGTGTGTGTGTTTGTGTGTGTGTATTGGGGGGGGGGGGGTCGATGACTTTTAAAGCTTCATACCTAATACTTTTCATACCATTTTAACACAGATTCGCGTTTTCGAGGAAGGATCCGGATTTTCGGGGGGGGGGGGGGGGGGAGGGGGCATGGTCACTTTTACTTGTTTAGTATATACATTTAACTGCCCCCCAACCCCCTCTAGATCCGCACATGGGGTCATTTGAAAATAGTATTCTCAAGAATCCCTGGACTAGAATGAGAAAATTTCCAACATAGCATACATTCATTTTTTTTTCAAATATTGATTCCAGGGAGGAAGTTTGGACCGGAAAGAGTGTTCATAATTTTACATAGGAATTTATATATCCCCCCAAACGAAGTGTGTGGGTTTGGGGTGGGGGTGTTTTGAGTCTTTTGGAATCACACTGTCCGTCTGCTTAGCTGTCTGTCTGTACGTGATAGTTTGCCAAGGATATTATAACTTTGTTATGAAGAAACTGGAAGGTCATACTTTGTACAAAGATTACTAATGATCCGAAGGTGTGTCATAATTTTGATCCAACATCATTCCGGCAAGTTCAAGGTCACTGGAAAAAAATAGCAAGTATCATACTTGATACAGGAATTACTTATGACAAAATTAAGGGGTTTGACATGACCTTCATCCAAGGTCATTCCTGTAAGTTCAAGGTCACTGACAGAAAAATGTAAGATTACTGTATGTGCTATAATTTTGGAAGCTCATACTTGGAACAAAGATTGCTTATGATCCACCGGTTTGAGATAACATAGTACTAGACTGGCAGAAGAAGTGGCAAAATTCGTGCCTGGATTATAAATTTATAAGGGGTGGGAGGAACAAAGGAAATTTTTTCTCAGATTGCTTGAGATGGGTTTGTCCTGATCTTGAACAAAGGTTTTTCCGGCAAGTTCAAGGTCACTGGCAGATAAATATTAATTTTTTTCCATGCTATAACATTGTAATATAAAATCACTGGAAGCTTTTACTTGATACAGAGATTGCTTATGATCCAAGAATGTGTTTTGACCTTGATCCAAGGTCTTTCTGGCAAGTTCAAGGTCACTGACAGAAAAGTGCAATATTCTTTTTCAGGTATATCTTTGTCATTGAGTATCACTGGAAGCTTATAATTTGTTCACAGGTTGTTTTTGACCTTAACATAGGTCATTTAGGCAAGTTCAAGGTCACTGATATAATAAGTGTAAAATTCAAAAAGGTCTAGTCGCCCAAGTGGCGCAGTGGTAAGAGTGTCTGCTCTAGAGTCATGGATTAAGGAGTTGATCCTTACGTCGCAGGTTCGAATCCCACTGAGGGACGCAGAGACTGATCCTTCGGATGAGACCGTACAAACTGAGGTCCCGTTTGGCAGTAGGTGCTGGCACGAAAAAGATCCCTCACTGCTCAATGGCCATGTGTGCCAAGTATAGGTCAAAATTTGCAGATCTCCATCGGCAAATGGTGGCGTCTCCATATGATTGAAAAATTCTCGAAAGGGACGTTAAACAACATACAAACAAATAAACAAAAAGGTCTATAATTTTGTAATAGAAAAAATTGCATGCATTTGCATTTCACTGAAAAGATGATAATTATATCATCCAGAGTGTGTAATGGCCTTGGCTTAAATTCGAGGTCACTTAGAATATGATGTTTTGGATGAATAGTCTGAAAGAATACGTGACTGTGAATTTTTTTTATGTCGGTGACATAAAGATGGTGTTTGCTCTTAACAAGCTGCAGAATGTGTTATGGCTTAACGCAAGGTTATTTGGACAAGTTCAAGTTCACTGACAGGGGAATTTTACATTCCTTTACTGTCTTTCTACTGTTGAAACATTGAAAGTTGATGCCCCTTACAGGATTGTTTATAACCTTAAAATGTTGCATGACCTTGACTCAAGGTCGCTCTGTCCTGTCTGGAGCTCCGACGGAAGACCTATTCGTTGCATTGCAACGAGCTCGGCTCTAGTTACCTTTCTATTCACTCAACTAAACGTTCGTTTAGATGCTTCATGATGTAGCAAGATATTTGTGTAATATTATACGTACACGCCATCAAACATTTTCTCTTTCTCACTTTTATGTGCTTACATTGTTTCTTTATTTTATTAGTTATTGTATTATTAATTTGTTTAGTATGAATGTGTAAGTGAATTGAATAGATATTTTTAAGACAATAGCGTTTTATATAATTGTGAATTTTTTAAACTCTTGAACATTTTCTTAGTGATGACGGGTCTAGACAAAAGCTCAAACTCTCAAACAACAGCCATGCATCTATTCGATGATCTCAACGTTCAAATTCCCAAAGGTGGAAGGTTTCATAGATACAAGCAAGAGCTCTAGACAAGCTTGAGCTCTATATAAGCCTGAGTTCTATACAAGCCTCAGCTATAGACTGGCCTGGGCTATATACTTCGAAAACACCTTTTTTCTTGCCATCTAAAGGTAGCGGACTTGTTATTTATTTGAGAGATTCAAGTTATTTCTCATTTTTAAGAACAAATACAGGGCTCTAATTGGCGACTAATTTAGTCGCCATGGCGCCTAATATTTTTGATTGGCGCCTAAAATTTTTCAATAAGTCGCCAAATTGGCGACCATTTTAAATTGACTTGGTGATCGTCGAATCCTGGAAATTTTCACATTTTTAACAATTTTTCAGAAAAAGCAGAAAGAAATTTAAAACTAGAGGAAAATATTTTTAGCAATGGACATGTCATGTTTTCTTAGGCACGTCATGGGTCTCAATATTCTATTTACTTTTAAAGAAATATTGCCTGGCGACTAAAAATTTGCATTGGCGACTATATTTTTTTGATAAGGCGCCAGGTGGCGCCTAAATTTTAGAGGCCACTTAGAGGCCTGAAATACACACACTGTTACTATACAGTTCTTCTACTTTTATCCCCAATTGAAAGGTAAAAGCAGAATGATTTCCTCAATGGAAATCACAAATCTGAAACACCGGACTCCTGCAGTTGTAATATTTCTAGAGCCGTTAAATGAAAATTTAATTACTAGTAGTATACAATATCAAATATTGGTACAATATTTAAAGAATAAACATGTACTTTTGCTTAAAAAACAAAAACATTGATATACAAAACAAACTTCCCCTGATGAAAGTCACTGCTTTACATTCGATTTGTGTTCACAAACAAACGGTAATAAAAGTCCTCCTTCACCAGTAAAATAAGAATAATCCTTCTCAGGTACCCAACTCCACTGTCCCTTATTGTGTGAAAGTAATAACCCAAACGGTTCGGTGATGTGCTCCCAGTATTCATCTTCGTTAAATTCCTTAATTTGTTTAGGATTCCAGTTTGTGTATATGACGGTGGTGTTGTCATGGAAACTAAATTTTCCAGGATAATCTTGATTTAAGTAGCTAACTCGAACATAGAATACATCATCCAGATCTAGATCGTCCTCTGTAAATAAATGTGATATCTAGTGACGATGATTATTTTTTTAACCTCCTATGTTTCTTGATAAATATTTACATGTAACAGTAGAAGAAATTAGAAGACGTTTTTCAGATAGGATATAAAAATAAATACCCGGATGCACGTTTCTAATTCCTAACTGATATCCGTACCACCCTCCGTACCACACGAGTAACTCGGTATCTGGCATCACAACTTGTGACGTCATGTAAAATACCAAATCGTCACAGATCACGGAATGGACATTTTCTTCTTTGTAATTTCTCGGACAGTTGACATACCGCAACCAGTTGCTTTTTGCGGGGGAGGCTCCATCCACAAAATGTGTCATTGTATCTTCATCGCCGGAGTTAAGCTATTGAAATTATAAAATTCCATACCCATGTATTAATCGAATTCCCAAAACTTGAAATATACAAACTAATTATTTTTTCCAGGGTTATTTCACGATAATGATATAAACAGTTTTAAACACTATTTATTTTGTCTGACGTTGGATCTTTTAAATTATAGTATTAGGGTAAACTTTACAATTCAACAATTAATGCGAGTCTCAGTATCTATGTAGTAATGTAGCAAGAGTTTCAAATTAATTCCTGGTTTTCTGTACTATGCGTAAATATTAATTAATTACCAGGCTACTGTATAACTGTATAAGACTACATACTATCCATGCATACAAATGGTCACCGTCATCAAAGAACTCTTCCCCTTCGTAGATCCCTATCACTCTATAAATAGGGATATGGGTTTCTGCCCATGCCCCAAGGCCTGCGTTTGGAATACTGGACCTCTTGATGGAGAAGCCGGGAGGTGTTGTTAAGTTGGCTCTGTTGTCTTTATTAAACTCTACTGGAATCTGAATATACAAAGCAATTCAAAATTTTATATCAACAAGAGGCTCAAGGGGCTTAACGTTACCTGAGTATAATACAACTCTGTAAACGATCCATGGAATCGGAATTTAATAACGATAGCATTAAAAAAAATAACCTGATAGATGGAAATATGTTTCTAAAAATAAGAGAAATTTGATCATTAGGAATCAACAAAATAGTCAGGTAATTTAGCGATAGCTCAGAATTACTTATGTCTGTATATGTGCCAGTCCCGTGCTAACTACACTTTATCTCTTTCACCATACTTAACAACACAATAGTGCTTTAGCATAAAACCCAGTATTTGCGTTCCCAGCACGTTCGACAATACCATTGGCCTCTCTTGATCTTTGAATAACATTTAATGTACAAATATAAATTAATTTTGTTTCATTTTTATTCATCTATTATTTTTAAATCTACGTGACAATTAAAACTATAAACTTCTGAGTACTTTTTGTATTATAAATTATTTTTTTTTGTATATTTCTTTTATTAAATTTACCTATTAATTACTTCAATTAATATGATTAATTATCATAGATAAATAAGCGGTTTGTTCCCGTTTTGCACACATTTGAATTTTTGGTATTGAAAAAATGTGTGCAAAGCGGGAATTTGTCCAGGTAAGATAGTTATTTAATTGCAATAGTCTATATCATAGTTATGAATTTGGAGAAAGAGATTCTCCGGAAAGAACAGAAGAAAAAATGTCAATTTTCCACTTGATATTTTGACTTATTTCTTGAAAAAATTATTTTTAAAATATAAAAGATATCACAAATACCAATCAAAACTATAATCATATTCACATGATACTAAGTGGACGGATTATTTTTGTTATCAATTAAGATTGAATTCATTTACTTATTCATTTTATCTTTATAAAATAAAGGAACAGGGTGAACTGCGATAGGGATATCTGTCTAAACTATCAACTTCATCTTCGGTTGGATAAGTAAAATTTTCCTAAATTATTCCCTTTATTATAATCCATTGGTAAAATACAGGTAATTCCAGGTAGATCCCAGATGGAGATCAGACTATACATGTAATTGCTATCAAAACATATTCCACACCTATTGTTTTATACCTAATTATCAAATGTGTCCAAAACGGGAACACACCAAATAAGCAGAGGCAAAATTTCCATACATAATCATAAGAGAGACCCATCCTAACTCCAGAACCCCTGACCAGGACCATGATTTAAAAAAAAATTGATAATCATTGAACAATGCTTAGTTTGTCTGTTAAATACCCAGGAAGAGAGATAAAGATTTTTAAAGAAATAATGCATTTTCAATATATGATCCGTATGATCCTACCAACGTAACTCCAGAGCCCATAATACAGGGACCATTGATTTCACAATTTTGAAAAACTTTTGCTAATCATAACCGTACTGAGTTAGTCTGCTAAATACTGCTAAATGACTAGCAATTCTCACATACCGGTAGTCGTAGAGAAGATTTTTCAAAAAATAAATGGCATGCATTTTTATATACCCAGGGTCAGAGAAGATTTTCAAAGAATAGATGTACATGTATTTATAGAGCACCACCATAACACCTGACCATTAACCCTGGGAGAGGTTTCAATGCTTATAATAATATTGGCAATAGTTTGACTGCTTGATACAAAGGAGAAAAATAGATTTTTAAGGATGCATAACACAAACAAAAATTTGATATATGGATTGACAATATTATTTGACTGATGTTAAAAAGAAATTCATAAATAAGAAATTCCTAGAATATAAAAAAATTTTAAGTTTTCTTTGGTGCTTATGCGACTTTGTGTCGTTTTCTATGTAATTCTGTACAATATCACAGGGAAAAGTGGCTTACACGATATTAATGTGATTATCTTTTTATTTGAAAATTATGTGAAAATCATGTAAAAATTATATAAATATTTTTTATGAGAATATCATGTGAATAAGTTTGTATAATATTCACATATATATTTTTAGAACTTTCATGTGAAGTTTTCTCTGCACGATTTTTATGCTATATGCTCTTCATGTGAAATTCATAAGAAAGTTAAGTCAAAATGGCTTAACGTTTTCACATAAATTTCAAATGTCTTGTTTTTCGTCTCTTTCTCATGCAAAGAATTTACATAAAATTCATGTGAATTTCATATAAAATTTATGTAAGCCACTTTTGCCCGTGTATTTTGCACACATTTTTAAGATTGTGACAAAATCTTACAAAATTTTCCACTTTACCTAGCAAACAGTATTCAGGTAACCTATTTTAATATAAAACTATGGGAAATATTACTGATTTCTGGAAAAAAAATTGTGTTATTTAACCTTAAAGACTGTGTCAATTATCATGGGTTTGGCGCTACTCCTCAGGTCCCACGGATGCAGATACCAAAAAATTTTTAATTTTGTTTTCCTCTACCTATAGATGCTATATACAAAATTGGTTGAAATTGGTTAAGCAGTTCCAGAGAAGAAGCTAAAAATATTTAGATACTAAGGCACAATGCCCAACGCAAGACGGACGACAAAGGACGAAAATATGTACAATAGGTAACCTCAGCGGCTCCATCTTATGCACTGATCATTCAGATTTAAAGTGATAGAACATTTTAATTTGCCTATAATTCGATTAAGAAAATACTTGACAGATAAGTAATAATTCCTTCTTTGCCAAAGTTATATGATTCTGAAAATCGCAAAAAATTGTAGACCTATGTCTACACAATAATGTGTGAGAATGGGGAAAAATACTGCCTGTGAAATTCTTTTCTGAAATAAGTTTGAAGATGGTTTCACAAGACTCAGAAGCATTGATGCCTAGCAATTCTCACCTACTGGTAATCGTCGAAAAAAAAGATTCGACCTCTTACTATTATTACATACGACCGAACTTTGTGATAATTTTCTTCAAAAAGTAATTCTTAAGGAACCTGAAAAATATTGTTTATTTACAACACATCGTCAGAGATTCTTCAAAATTGTGGACCTTATCACCTTAGAGTTTAAATGCTAGTTATATGGGATTAGTAGTATAGGAGATCAATGTGGAGAGTGTTTAAGTTAAAGTTATGCTTACTTAAGATTACATCTACGATGAGAGAACAAACATAATGGGAACAAAAGTAGGCAAACAATTGATGTGATCGAAACGTCAGATAAACGAATTGAAATGTGTTACCGTTACAGCTGTACCATGTGGTGTAAAATTTACAGTGTATCGATGTCGTATTATATGTGATCATGCATATCAGTAACAATATTACATTGATAATCAAACAGGCAGAAATCAGGGAGAAATCAAATTTTCAATAGTATTTACAGATTCTCAAAAACAAATACTTATTAAAATCTCTCTCCCTCACCCCCCCCCCCACCACACACACACAGAGAGAGAGAGAGAGAGAGAGAGAGAGAGAGAGTAGACATGTTCAGGACATAAATAATAACTAGATAAGATTTATTCTTCAAAATAGATTTGCATTTCTTTCAGTAACGCACATAATTGGGAGAATTTATGGAAATAACAATTAATAAGTTAAATTGAAAGTGAGGATTACTTAAAAATGCAGTAACAATTTAAATGAACCTAATACTTAATATATATGTTGTTATTTAGGAGCAGTGTTAAGGTGTTGATCAGTATGTAGGTTAGAGTAATAATGTTTTTTTGGGGGGGAAATACAGTTCTGGTATGCTGTAGAAAAACTGTACAGTAACTGAGTAACAACTGCGTAAATACGTCGTGAAACACTTTAAAATTACCTTGGCATTTGAGATGTACAATTTTGATGATGGTACTGAATCATTATACTTCTTGTAAAACTCACAAACTAGAACAGAACATAATCCCGATATAGTGATCAGTTGATTCTAAGTGTATGCAGCAACAAAAATGTGAAAATGTGGTTGGTAGATGAGCATGTTAAAACAACAAATTACCACTTTGAAAAAACAGGTAATGATTGCATATTATATATACTTAAAAAAAATAACACAGCAATTATAATACCACTGTTATAAAATACATGTATGAATTATAAATTTACTTTGATGCAGTTATCTACTTTTCTATATTGCTATCCCTATTATTTTTTTTTATTAATTCTAGCAATACTAACATTTATCGGCATATTCGTCTGCTGCTTTTAATCTCATATGTGATTTCCGAAGAAACTGAAAAATAAAATTAAAAAAAATGGAAAATTGTTGAGAAAAACATTTGTATGCATAGAATAGGCAAAAAAAAAAAAAAAAAAAAAAAAAAGGATATACCTCTCGATTTGGTATGGCCAGATTGAATGAAAAGTTTTGGGCTAAATTAAAAAAAAAACATTTCATGTATTTTTATCTCATCTGATATATCAAGTTGTTGTTACACTTCAACGAACAAGAAATTAAAACTTTGAACATCGATTTCATATAAATATTACTTATTAGCTATCAAATGTTCTTCCTAGAAAAAAAATCATCTTGTTGATAAAGAAAATACTAGTATGAGAAATGTTCACATGAACGTTTTACTTTACCTTCCATGTAATTCGTGAGAGCCATTTCTTTCTCTTGTGAATCCAAAATCACCATTTCTCCTCCACTTTCTTCACAAATCTCAACAGATTTTGCAAATGTTGCTCCTTTGCGATGGAACGAAAAACACCAATTAGCGACATTGACAAACCCCTCTTTACATCTTGGAATTCCTGTGGAGTTGGAGGTATCAATGGAAAATAAAGTTGAACGTAACTCTTAGAATCTATGATCATAAAACGGAGGAATCAGAAGATATATTATTCTCACCTGTTGTAAAGACTATGGCGTTAAATATCCAAGCCACTTGCAGAATGTGCATATTGTAGACGTTTTTTTTTTTCTATTTTAATAAAACTTTTACTGCTTCAAAATTGCTCTTTCAGTTTTTCACACCTGAAAGAGCAGTTAAACAACAATGTTCGATATGCCTTGATGATCGGAAATGATAAACTGTCAATCACTATATTGTAACATTCTCCTGATTCGGACTTACAAACTGTCAGTTTCCTCGAAATAATCAATGTTTTCACATATATTTTCGTAAGTTTTTGTATTTTTGTTCAGAATTTGAAATCCAATCTGATAAGAAATCAAAATCATATTCAGAGGAGGGGAGACAGACAGACAGACAAACAAATGAATTGGATTTTACTATGTTGGTTTATCTTAAAATCGTTTGTTGGTTTATTCTAAAATCGAAAATTAATGATTTGATCACCATAAAAATATTCTAAGAATTCTATATGCAATAATTTTAAATAACATTTTTTATGCCTAATTATTGTTTGCATTTAGTTCATTTTTAATTTCTCCAAAAGTTTATGTTTTAACTCTTGACAAATGTTAAATTGAACAGAGACTCTTATTTCTTGATTATTGTATATCAGCTAGTCAAATAGCTCAAGGTATCTCATTATATCTATCAATGAAATAAGTGTGGATTACAGCATCTTTCTGCAACATATTTATCTCTCTTGTAAACAGACATGTACCTTTATATCCTGGTAATCAATATTTATATTTACAATATTTTTTTTACCGAGCATACCTTCTTTGTTTCGACTGAAAGAACAATTCACAGCTAAAGGAAAGAAGTTTTACAAATATTGACAAAAATAATTGACGAAGGAGCGTTCGTTTTCTTCCAGTAAAACTTAATCCGTCATATGGCTAATTATTTTTCACAGTATAATAAGACAAACTTAAACTAAAGTGTAGAATGACTATTTGCATGATTAGGCTCTTTCATTTTCAATGGATGATCCTTCAATATTATTCCATACTTTCAATTTTGGGCGAATAATCTATCAATTTTTCATTTGTTTAAATAAAAGTTTTTGGCTAATACAAATTCATTCTTGCAATAAAAACAAACAATATTCCATACGTTTAAGTGCCAATCACATTTGGATGCAATAATTAAATAAAATTAAATAAAAATGTTGAATATTGAACATTGTTACAACGCAAAATGTAATCAACTGGGATTGTTACACTTTTGTTATTACATATTGCGTCAAAATCAACGCAGAATGTAATAACACAAAATGTAATAACCGACTTTTTTAGGATAATTACACTTTGCATAATTATATTTTGCGTCGAGATTAACGCAGAATGTAATAATGTACTTTTTGAATACTATATTTTGCGTTGAGGGTAGTGTCATGTTGTAAATTTTGAAACTACCGGATGACAGTAAATACAAAATTTACAACATGACAATTAGTTGTATTTACTGCCACCCGGTAAATTCAAAATTTACAACATTACAGCAACGCAAAATGTAATAAAATAAAAATGTAACAAGAAAAACATAATAATTTGTTTTTGTATTGTGTTCAACGAAAAACTTCATAAAATTGATTTAAAACATATCTTTAATATTATAAAATAAGAATAGGTATTGTGCCGAGGTGGTTGAGTCGGTTAGGAGTATGAAATACTTTTAAGGTCCTTAAAGATGATTTAAAATCGGTGGAATTTAATCAATGATATCAAATACTAGTTAGTTGCTCAAATAAACGTAAACACAAGATACATGTATGATGGGCATGTCGTTTTGCATTTCAAAAAAAAAAAATAAAATAAAATAAAATAAAATAAAATAAAAATTAAGAAAAATTGTCATGTCTAAAAGCTAGGAAATCGGCACTTTATATTTAATCCCTTGAAATGGAATTTGCATTATTCGTAGATCAGGAAACGGCTAATAATAAAACAACATTTAATCATTGGTGTGCAAATTCTTCTCAATTTAACTGACCAAAAAGTGTGTTTTTACATTTTGCATTGTTGCGTTTTGCTTAATATCCACGCAAAATATAAGTAACAAAAATACAATGATCCAAAAAATATCTTATTGCATTTTGCGTTATTAGATTTTGCGATAACATCAACGCAAAACGTAATAATGCAAAATGTTATATTCCTAGAAGTATCTTATTACATTTTGCGTTATATATTATATTTTGTGTGATTTTGACGCAAAATGTAATAATAACGCAAACTGTAATAATCCCGGTTTATTACATTTTGCATTGTTATTAAATTTCGCGTTGTAACAAAGCATAATTTCAAATAATTAGATTTCATACAATACAGAAAATCAGAAATATGAACAATTTTAAGCTATTCCAGAGGGCATATTTCAAAATCTGAGCATTGACCTTTTATAATTTTATCACCAGCAAAATAAGGGCAACATAAGTACATGTTGTTATAAACTGAAGCTATAAATCATTTAGAGTTCCATCATTCATTCATTTTTTTTGGGGGGGGGGGGGGAGTTAATATTAGATTAAAATTGTTAATTTAGAAAATTGATAGAGGAAATCGAATTGGAAAATTTAACGTTTATTTCTAAAAAGCTAATTGTCCATCTTGCTTAGCACACTATCTTAAAGGGTGTCAAGAAAGTCCGTTCCATAATGAAATATTTTTGAAGGAAGATGGGCGAACAAGGCGAGCGAAGTGCCTATAGTGCGACAAACATAAAGGTGAAAAATTAAATCTCAGTTATAACAACATTTTCTTTGATATTTTATCTAACATTAAAGTATACTTTATGTAAACAAAAATTTGCAAAGATCTCACAAAGATTGTACATGTAGTTATTTGCCTAATGATGAAATAGCATACACACACTAAAGAGGGCGAAAAGGATCATTTTCTCATACTATAACACAATTTTCGATATGAGTGGGTCTTCGCTCAATTTCTTTTAAGTTCATCCTAAAAGTTTGCGTAAAAAAATAAAGATTTTTGGTTAACAAAAATGTTTAAAAGTGTTGATTAAGTTTGATAAATTTTGCATAGGTATTTGAATGGAAATATTGATTTGTGTGCTGCATCCCTGATTTTTCTGCACAGACATCATCTGTTTCAATACCTGTACATGCCTTCCCCTTTCCGTTTCAACAAAACGCAGCAAAGACCAGAATGGACTCATCACAAATTTTAAGTATCTTTTCATTGTATTTCTTTTCGAGAATGAAAGAAAAATGTGGAATGATCTTTTTTAATTCTTGACATCCTTTATTTTCGTTATATTTGTTCTATTTCATCATCAAAAGAGTTTTATTACGTGTACTATTTTGCTAAGAAAAAAAAAATCTTGATGATAGTGCAAAATGTTTAGGGATATTTACGATTTTTTCGAGAAATACCCAGAGGCCACTAGCATGAAATGTAGATCATTGACCGACTTATTGGAAAGTGAAAAATAGCATCACGGTCAGAGGTCTACAATGTATAGTCACTGGATTTTCATCCCATCAGTGGAAATTTTTGGTCATCTGGGTAAATGTCATCCTGAAATAATTTTCTTTGAAAAGTCAAAATGTATGTGATACTAGTTTCGTTTAAAACATAGTAGAAGCGCTCCTTTGGAACAAACTTTACGTATATTTTGAGCAATTTTCTTCAATTGCACTGAAGACAAACAAAAAAGGTGTCCCAGAGCGGGTTACGAGCCAGCATGACTGTACGATTTGAAATTCATTTCTTAAAAAAGAGTTCCTCTCAAGCAGGATTGGCCTAAGTTCAATGTTAAGTTGAAAACGCGGCAAATCTTTACAAATCATATTCATAACTCACTTGCATATTACTGACAAATGTTGACATGATTACATGTGACAGGCAAAAAAAAGTATACCAAATAAAAAATACATTTTCTTGGTAAAGATACATGCACCTTGATGGTATTAAGTTGATTTTACGCGAAATACATAAAAATCCTTGAATTTATTTTTATTTTTTACTCCTGACATCTTTAAGATTGAGAAGTAACGATTGTCAATGACAAAGGGACCAACATTTTGGACACAGAAATCACTCCACAAAAATTGAATCACGTATAAGCAAGTTGAAAACAAACAAAAGTGCGGAACCAGTTATTCAATGAATATTTTTCCGAGTTCGGTGACACCATTTTCCCAAATTTAGTGTTTCTTGTAACATTTTTTAAAATTGAAATACATTGTATATTTCCATCACCATGGTCAAATACAGTTATCGTTTCAATTCCCCCCAAAAGGGAAAAAAGACGAATGACTCCGGAAACTACAGAGAAATCGATCAGCACCACACGCAGCCTATGATTAATGACACACAATTTGGATCTCAAGCTGACTGTTCAACTGCAGATGCAATATTTGCTCTTCAAAGTTTAATGTCACAAAAGTTTAAGAAGAAACATTTATATTGCTGTTTTATTGATTACAAAAAAATCTTTTAATACAATTAATAAAGAAAAATTATGGTATTTACTAATAAAATTGGGGATAACTGGAAAATTCTTAGAATCATTCGATTGCTAGATATATTGATGTACATGTACGTGTCTATTTCCGATGAAATTCCTATAATCACTGGTCTGCTACTTGGAGAGATACTGACAGCTATACTATTCAGTATGTATACCAACGACTTGGAAAATCATTTCATCAACGACTGTCCATCTGTAGAAATTGTTTACAGATGACACAGTAATGTTCGCTTACTCACCAGAGGGAATAGACTCGATACTTACATGGATGTGTTTCTTCGTGTAATTTGACTGCTGACACTGCAAAACCCTAATGTTTACTTAGTATTCAGAAAAGGGGGATGCGTTGTTACAAGTGAAATCTTGGAACTTGTCGACTCTTTCAATTACTTAGCAGGGTGTAAACTACTAAAAACTGAGAATTACATTTTAAAATTTCGTTACGAATACTTACGACATGATGCAGCAAATGGGTCGGTTTCTAACAGAAATTGGGCAAGTGGAGTAAAGCTTGAATTATTTAGGGTGAATTCACCGTGCATCGGACACCC